GGATGAGTTCTATATTGGATCCTCCGAGTGCCTGCAGAATTTCTAGGTTTGGCTCATAGATTCGCATCCTCCCAATGCCATAGATTTGTACAAGTCTACAGTTTCCTGCGCCGATGGTAAATTGCGGCCTCCATTGCACACACCTATGGATTGTGCACCTGCATGTACGTGGAGTATGTTAATCCGAGATAACTAGACTAATATAACCAACATTGTATAAGATAAAAGGAAAAAAAAAATTATATTGTATAAGCTAGAATGTTACAACAAACTGGACAGAAATGTACACGACCAACACATAAAGAACATAAATATTTATATAATTAGACGTAAAGTCTACATTTACTGTAAATATTTGGCCAAAGCTAGATTTCAGTATGTGAAAAATAACAGATTACAAGTTTAACACCCAAATCCTCTCTCTCACTCTCTAAATTGGCCTTGTAAAATAATTTCGAAAAATTAAGTGTGGCAGTATTGCGTAAAAGGTTCAGAGCTAAAGTGCACTCATCTTATTGATCTATGTTCGATTCCCCTTCCTCTAACTAACTACTAACCATTGCCATACTATAAAACAAAAACAAAAACTTCAAAAAATTGATAAGGAAGTTATTTTTATTATGTTATATGGAGTAATAAAATATTTGATTTGGTAAATATTTTAATTAAATTTTTTGTTAAACATAACATAAAAAAAAGTAGGCCATATGTAAGAAGGGCCTTTACCTATCCCAAGCAGTGGGAAGGCATTTTAGTTCCTCCCAAATATATAGGAATCAAAATCAGACCCGAATCATCTCAACTCTCAAATTTTCCGGCCATTTCCTGCTGTGTAGCTTTATCAAATTTACTTCGAAATTTCACCACTTTCACTATTGAATTTCACCGCTATAAACTCCATCATTTTGAATTTTAACAATTTCAATGGATTCCGACACCATAAACTTCACAATTTTGAAATTTAAATGTTGAATTTTGCTATTTGTAAAAGCTGAGTAAAAACAGAGATGAAATTTCACCAGCAGTTGAAAGTGGTGAAACTCCACAGAGGAGGAAGTAGTATGTCATATACACTATGAAATCACTTGCATGAACAGCAGTGTGCGCGTGTACGTGTAGAGAGAGAGAGAGAGAGAGATACCTGCTTTGTCTATGGTAGGTAACAGTAGCACAAGTAGAAGCAGCATAGCAACCATAGAAAATAAATGCAACTCCCTAATTCGTAGAAATATCCAGAATTAATAATAAGCCAATCAACTTGCCATTTTTTTCTTTTAATGCGAGAAATATATGGCAACACTACCCTCTCTGTTCTCATTCGTTCTATCAGATCAGGAGGTTGAGAAAGTAATAATAAAAAAACCAACCCCATTGCCCAGGTCAAATACGTTAATCGGTCCACTGCCATTGCCGTGTCCAGTGGATGGAAATCAATTTCAACCGGTCAAGTATGTACCCGGTCGAAATCAATCAAAACCGCTAATGTCGGAAGATATTTTAAATGTTAGGGTAAATTGCACTAATACTCCTTAGGTTTAGGTCATTGACACTCTGATGCTGGTCAACAAAATTTTGAAGAACGCTTTGTAGGCACATCTCTCCAGACTTCTAATTACCCATGTACCCTTCCTATGCCATTTGACTTGAAAACCAGACCACTGCCGCCACAACACCCAGACGTACAACACCACCGCCATCCCTAGACATACCCAAATTATATACGTATATATAATACAACATATATATATACGCACACACTATAATATGCGCACCCAATATTATCACACACTCTTTATATATATATAACTTAGTTTGTGAGTATCAATGGAAGACTTAGACAGCACCACCGCTACCATAACACCCAAACAACTCCACCACCGCCACACCACCCACAATGCACCAAATTCAACAGCCCAAAACATACATATATGGATATATATATATATATATATATATATATATATATCCTGCAAGAGAGTTGGAAATTTTTTTCAGGGTTGGATTTTTTGATCCATCAAATTAGTGACGCGATTCCGGCAAGGAGAGTATGCAGATTCCGGCGAAGATGGAGATCAATGCCAAGACTGACCTCCCGATGATTCTCTCTTCCACCGCGGGGATATGTGTGTACATAGATAAAGGAATTTGGGTTTTGAACAATAGATGGACGGTGAGGTCGGGCAGTATTGGCGATGAGGAGAAGGCGCTGGGAAGTTGGCGATGTTGCCGACGAAGATGAGGGTACTGTTAATAACAATGATGTTGTTTCTTCGGTGGGTGATTCACTGCGAAGAAGTAGAATCGATGTCAGTTGTTGTTTCTGTGGCCGAGCTTGGAACCGTTGATGGGTTAGGACTCATCGACGATTAGGAGGTAATAGATGGTGGCGACGACTGTGTGTGCTGGTGGTTGTTGTGGTGGTGTCTGCTTGTGGCGGTGTTTGCCATCACTGCTGTAAGCTTTGGTCTAGTGGTGTTGGCGTTAGTACTGAAATGATGGTGTTGAAGGGCTGGATGTAAATGTTGTTCAGAGGTATATGGCAGGTTGTGAGAGTGTAGGTAATGGTGGGGGTATTTTAGTCCATTAACATTATTGATATTTTGTGACTATAATTGAATTAAATAATAATGAGCAAATATGACATTTGAAAACTATGAGTGTCATTGTTCAAAAAATTGTTAACCAGCATTTAAGTGGCATTTACAAAACCATAGAAGTGTCGGGGCAATTTATCCTATATCCTAAATGTTATTAATGTGGTCTCAACTACAAAAGCACTTAGGCTTCTAAGCATGAATGAAATAAATATAATAGAAATGGATGGAGCCGAGAATGGTCATTCTAGCTTATTCTCTTATTTGGTTGCAAATATGCAATGATGTGGGAATAAATCGATAATTAAAATTCTAAGTAGTACTAGTGAAAAACAATGGAGTTAGTGGTGGCAGAGGCAGTGGCGAAATGCGGGCAGAAGACCGGTGGCAATGGAAGACAGTGGCAATGAAAAAATGCGGTGGTGGGTGTGGAAGGCAGTGATAGTACAAAGTGGCGGAAGCAGCGATGAAAGGTGGCGGCAGCGGTAGAGCAATTAGAGACCTAAGAAGAAAACATAAATGAGATTGGGACTTTGAAGAATGAAAAAATTAGGTAATTCTTAATAACAAAAAAATAGATAAAAGAGGAGTAAGAGAGAGAATGAACTTACTTGCTCATCCTCATTTTCTCCCCACCAATACCATTACCATTACGCTCTCATCGCAAGAATTCAAACAATTGATATAAAGCTTTTGGACAATTGCAATCCTATTTTCGGTTTGGTGCTTTTCAAGTCTATGCTTTATTGTGTAACTTTGGATTGTATTACATATATTATATAATATCATATTTTATTGGGTAAAATACTATATTACAAGAGGTTTCTATTTGGTTGGACTTAAAATAAAGTAACTAAAATGTTTTATGTAATTAGGTTGGGCTAATATCATATTACAAGGGGCCTAATATTTTATTGCTAATGGATTAGACAAATATTAACTAACTAGTAACTAATGTGTAATGTAATTGGGTTAGGCTAATATATTTTGGGGTCAAGTTCGGACTTGTGCAAATTTAAGACTGATGGAGTGATGGGTCATACTATTATAAAAAATTTCAAATCATAGAGAGTTGGAAGAAACCGAACAAAATTCTCATTCAAAAATTTTCAAACAGTACTAATTCACGCTTTTTTTTATTTTTATTTTTTATCAACCTATAAAAAAATCCCAAAAGTGATACAATATATGAAAACTAAAATATATATTGAAAAAAAAATATTGAATGCAGGTACCTTCAATATTATTAAGATTGATTTTTTTTTTTTCTTTCTCTTCAACCAAATATATACATTTATATGTATTTTTTCCGTCAATTTTATGAACCAATAGAAGACTTCTCAATGTTCTATTTTTCCTTCAATTTTACAAATCGAAAAAGAAAAACCCGAATCAGAGATAGAAAAATTAAGGAACTGGACTGAAAAAAAAAAAAAAAAACAAAGGACGAACGGCCATAGTCCAAAACCTCCATCTCTCATTAGATTTCCCACTGGGCTCGGTTTCTTAAATATAGGTTGACCCTGATTTTTACTTTGTCTTTCTAAATTAAGAATGTACAATTAAACATGGAATTCCTTTATTTGAATTGTGTTTAATATTGTGGTAAAAATAACTTGATAAGAATGTATCTTGAATTGTTTTTAATATGAACTTGATAAGAGTTGAAATTTAATTATTTATTTAAAAAATAATAATTAAAATGGAAGTATGAGCAGTTTTAAATTAAAATATCCATTAAGTTAAAGTTGTTATTATTATTATTATTATTATCATAGTTTAGTTTTATTTATCTTATTATTGTTTAAGACTGTCCACTCTCAAATTATGTTATGGGTCTGTCAGATATCATAGGCATGCCATAGCTAAGAAAATCTCTTTCCATGTAAACAGGTGCAAGTTATGTAAGCACAAATTAACCATTCTTATTCAAGATACATTCATATATATATATATATATATATATATTAAATAACATTGAAAAATTCATAAACGTGCTTAGGACACTATAAATCTAGTTATTAAACATAGTTGTGGAGCCATTAATTAATTCAGAGTAAAAGCTGAACTGCTTTAGTCTTCAGTATCAAGGTTTGGTTCAATGGAGTAAGATTAACTGTATTGAGGGTGTGTGTGTGAAAGTAAGGACTGTGTGGTCCTTAATAAGTTAATATGTAACCATACATCCTTATTCATACAAGACTAGTGACTAAATAAATCATAACTGAACAAAATGCTTAATAATCACATCTTTATAGGTATTCAGTAATTGATTAATTGGTCCCATCAAAGATTGTGTAGCACCGTGGCTTATTGATATTTCATCTGCCTCTCCAAAGAGATGATGAGAGTCAACTTATTAATATCTAAGTCTTCCCAAGGGTATTTTGGAAGTCACTTGATACGTCAATAGAAATAAAAAGAAACTAATTTAAAAGAAATTTGGTATTTAGGTTGCTTATTAGGACTGAACAGGCCAAAATGAGCTTCCATATCTGCCCCAATCTTTTGGTTCTCGTCAAACATGGCGAACAAAAAAGTTTCCATAGCCTTCCCTGGCTTCTTCGGAGTCCCTCCCTTGACATGATTAATCAAATTTCTATAGTAAGTGCTTGCATTCTCCACAGTCGCTGCAGTACCACCCACAGACGGCCAGCCAGTCTCCGACACCACGATCTCCAAACTCCGTCCACCTACCTTCTCAACAGCAGAGTACATGGCATCCAAGAGTGCATCAAAATAGCTTCTGTATTTGCTCCACGAATGACCTTGCGCTGTCTCCAAATGCGCCAACTGATGGAGGGTACGAACTATCCAAAAGTCCAAAGTATATTGTTGTTGAAATCTGTTGGAAAATAAATTTGATTTTAGTAAGTAGTCTTTTCAAGTTTTTCAAAATACAGGATGCATGCGCATTTACGTGTTAGTGGTATTTAATTGTCTCGGTGTAATATATAACAATCATATAGTCCAACCATTTTTATAAGTTGATCAAGTGAAAATGGTATAATTGATATAATCAAGGAAATAATCTCGTAGAGGTAAGACTACATTCATCTCATCTAACCTTTTTCCAAATCTCACAATAGAAAAATTGCATGCTGATTCATGTATTGTTTTATTCTACAAATAATTTTCAAATATTAAAAATTGCTTGTTAATTGTTGGCTTGATTGATATTTGAATGCTGCTGTAATTAGAAAGTTCTATGTATATTTTTTACATTAACTTTAATAAGAAATTGTCAAATCAATTTATCAAAGTAATATCAATTTAATCAAAATTGATTACAACACAATTATAATGGCATTTTCTAAGACTCGTTAAAATTAGCATAGAAATTGGATTTTGTGAAATCTGAAATTAGAAATTAGTCAAGTCAATGTTTTGAAGTAGTTTATATGCATACATCAATATAGAAGTGTGTGTGTGTATATTCAATTAAACCTGAGTGGAAGAGAAGAAAATAACATCTAACTAAAACAAGACTTCCAATCGAAAGTTCATGTTTAAATATCAAACCTTTTTTTAAAGTTGTAGTCTAAAATAGGCACCCAACCTTAACTTTTAAAATCCAACCAAAATAAATAAATAAATATATAAAATTGCCATTTACAATTTCAAAGGCAATTTGAAAAACGGAGAATCAAAAATTGATAGCGGCCATGAGCGAGTTCAATACAGTAAAGCAAAAATTGTAATTGAGATCGAGGGTTCGTAGAGCACGAAGCTGACCTAGGGTCGCCGGAACCTCGTCGGAGATGAAATTCTTGCTGACGGCAAGAACCCGTAGGTTATTCAACTGAGATAATGTTCAAGCCGAGCGTCGATGATCCGATCTGGAACGACGGTGAACTCAGCCAGAGCAGCGAACAGGCCCTTGGGTCACCGAGTTTCACAATACATGCCGGCAAAGTCGTATAGCTCCACCGTGACATCCCACATGGAGAAGAAGTCGGATCTAGGCATGTCTTCCAGGGCATTCCGAATGGATTGTAATGCCAAAAAATCATGAGGTCCAAAATTGGATTTGTGAACAGACTAAATTGAAGAATAGATTGAAAACAAATGAACAATTTAAGTTCATCTTTGTGTGAGTGTTTGGTGCTGGAGCAGATTAGTGGATGGAAGAAGGCAAATGAACAAATGGGTTCATTTATAGGCAAAAGGGCTACAACAGTAATATTTCAGGGCAATTTTGGAATTAAAAAAAAAAGGGCCAAGTCATGTGTTGCACTCGTGGGCCGGAAAGTTGTCGAAATTGACTTTTAGGGGTTAATTTGCACGATTTTGATAGTTGTGGTATTAATTTATTCACTTTTGTAATCTAAAAGGTAAAATGTCGATTTGTGATAGTTCATTGAATTTTTTGCATTTTTGCCTAAAATTTAGGTGAAATTGTGATAACGTGATGTATTGGCGCAATGTTACTAACGGTTGAGATTGCACTTGACACATTAGTAATAGTAATTATTAAAACAATCAAACCATGTCATTTTATTAGAGGGCATTTTTGTTATTTAACATCTTCAGTGACTTCCATGCTAGAGACTTTTCGTTTTGTCCTTCAATTATACTTTTTACATTATGTTCTTTTGGGGGAAGTTTATTGCACTCTACCCTGTTGTCACCATAATTAGTACATGACTGGTCTTTGTGTGTCGACAGAAGTGTATGAGCTGGAGTAGAAAGGTCAATGAAGCAGAAGTAACAAGTAATGAATAGCTTTTGACTTTTGAGGCCGCTAAGTTGGCAGCCACGAGTGGGCAGTAATAATCGGCAACCGTGCTATATATGTGTAGTAATAACTTAAGTGGAAAGCCCGAGTGATCGAATTTCACACTATATTAAAAAACAAATTATATATATAAAAAAGTTTTAAAATTAAAAAAATGAATTCCACACTATATAGATTTTTTTTTTTGGGTGTAAATTTCAGAATTTTTAGCAGTTGTGTATATATATATATTTGTATAAATGTGATGTGTCATAATAGATTTACATAATTTTAGACTACTCATCTTTATCTCCCGCCATTATTTTATATCTTTTGTGTAAAAATATATCCGTTAATAACAACCAATCACGTGTCCTTACATAAGTTGTACAAACCTATTTAATACTCCCTCCGTCCCTTATTAGTAGTCAAAGTATCTTTTCTTTATATTTTCATCATTGTCCTTTATCTTTTTAAAAAATTTCAAACTTTGTAATTATATATATTTAAATTAAAAAGGACAATTTGATAATTTTAAAAGGGAACAATGCATTAATTGTATATTCCCTTAAAAAGTTATAAAACTAAAGATGGACAACTAATAAGGGACGGAGGTAGTATAGAGTTGAATTACTAATTGAATGAGAAAAAGAGATAAGAAAGAAAATATGTTAATATAGTTGTGAAAAAAAGCTGTGTTAAATACACAATACTTTTACGCATTAATCTACGCTATATCGCAAACAAATAAGAGAAAATAGAGAAACTAACAGGTTATAATACATATATATATGTTTGAAGAGGGAAAGAGACAGAGTAACCGCTACTCTCTTATGTTATCAGAGTATATATATATGTTTCTCAATTTTGTGGGGGGAAATTGTAAAGGCTCGAGAATTTGTCCACTGCTTTTTCTTTTTCTTTTTTAAATATATATACAAGTAGCTTCTTCTCTGTTTTTTTTTGAATTATTTTAATATTTTAACTTAAGCGAGGTCCACTGCTTTTTTTTTTTTTTTTTTTTTTTAATTTAAATATATATACAACTAGCTTAAACTTCCAAATATATATATATATATGTGTGTGTGTGTGTGTGTGTGAATTCCTAATTTGTACTTTTCTTTCTAAATTAAAGATTTTATGACTTTACAATTTATAAATGAGAATTCCTTTAATTTGAATTATTTTAATATTTTAACTTAAATTGAAGTATTTATTAAAAAATAATAATTAAAATAAAAGTACTAGCAATTTTTAATGAAAATATCTATTAAGTTTAGCTTTTTAATTATGGTAGTTTAAATTTGCTTTCGTCTTCAATATCAAGATTTGAAGAAGGAAGATCACACCTCTCTGCCTTGGTCTTCCACTCCCTACACTTCCACTAAGCAGTTCGTGTTAGAGTAGGGGCTAAGGTTTTATATAAATAAAATATATGATAACCCATGTGTAATCTTTGAATTTTTATTTTTTTTAAAGTACGTGTATCAATTTCATAATAAACGGACCATTTAAGTCAGTTATGCCCTGAGGCATGTGTAATCCTTTTAATAAGTACCTGTATTCTTATCTTAAGACACATTACTAAGGTATACCATAACTTAAATACTTTATAATCACATTTTTGTAAGGTATTTAATAATTCATTATTTGGTCTCAATTGCCTTTGCCAAGCTCAGCCTATTTTGTTTTGTAGTGCAGTGTTTAACAGAATATATAGGTCTGTGATTCAAATTCTAATTATTGAGTACCAGACGCTACGACATTGAATTAACCTATACCATACTCCGAGAAAAAACTCGAACGACCTTCAACAAAAAGGTACATGTACCCGAAACCAACGTTGCCAAAGAATTGTGCAACTGTCATAAAATTTTCTTTGAAAGATGCTATTACACTTGTCAAGCATGCACACTACTTCGAACCAAATTACAAAAAACACAAATGTCATTATAAACCAATCAACCATGCAAATTTTAAAAAAAAAAAAAAAAAATTAACAAAAAATAATAATCAATGAAAGCATTTTACAGATATATCTAATTAAGCTCTCTAACTCATTTTCAAAATCCATTAATATCTTAATTGTAAGCAATTTATTGACGGTGTGAAGCTTAATGGTATCTAAAGAGTTGAAGTCTTTCCAAGAATTTTGAATTATTTGACAGGACAAAATAAATAAAAAGAAGCTAATTTGAAAGAAATTTGATATTTAGGTTGCTTGTAAGGACTGAACAGGCCAAAATATTCAGCATTTTGGTACTCGTCAAACATTGTGAACAAATAAGTTTGTATAGCCCTTTCTGGCCTCTTTGGAGTCCCTCCCTTGACATGATTCATCAAATTTCTATGGTAAGTGCTTGCATTCCCCACAGTTGCTGCAGTACCACCCTCAGACGGCCAGCCAGTCTCCGACACCACGATCTCCAAACTCCGTCCACCGACCTTCTCAACAGCAGAATACATGGAATCCAGCAATGCATCGAAGAAGTTTCTGTATTCTAATGAACCGTCTCGTACAAATACTTTTTCTGCAGTAAACAAGGCATAAGGAAGCGGAATGTTTTGGGGGTTAGCAATATAGCTGAAGTACGGATATATGTTGGCAAGTAATGGAGCACTATTGTTAACTAGGAAGCTGATGATGGGCTCCATGAACCACCTTGCGTTGTCTCTGAATGCACCTTGTGATGGAGGATACGAATTACCCAAAAGTCCCATGTAAGTTACTGTCGAAATCTGTCAGAAAAATAAACTTGAGTTTTAGTACTTAATATTTTCACGTATTGAGAATGTGTCATTGAAGCCTATGTACCTAATCATGTACTATAGTCATTTTTATAAGAGGATAAAGTGAAAATTCTATAATATATAATAATCACGGATTGGAATCAAAATAATAATCTTGTGTACATGTCACATTCACCAACGACTAACAACCCCATGATTAAGTGAAAATAGTATAAGAGGAAAAAAAAAAATTCAACTATTATTCTCTCTCCACTTTTTCCCCCCTAAACTAGCCACTTCTCTTACACAAGAACGATGATACATTGTCTCCAATCGTACTCTTCATTATCACTCCTTCCAAAAATATTGATTTGTGTGTGTCTAGTCTAAGGATGGAGTGAGGATTTAATTTCAAGTCACCAATATATAAATACTTTACAAATTAGATATTTATGCTTTCTCTGTTAAAAAAAAAATTGTCATATTTTACTTTGAAAACTGTGACTAACAATGTATAATATTTTACAAATTAGATATCTATACTCTTTTTGATTCAAAAAGAATGTTTTGCTTTGCTTTAGAAACTGTAACTCACCCAAAGCAAAATGTGAGTCACACTTTTCAAAGCATGACACATTTTTTTAAGACCTAATGGAGTATATGTTAAGTGGCTAGCTTGAACAAGGGAAGTTCTTCTTTTTTAAAAATAAAAAAAAAAAAAAAAAATGGTAGGTGGGTACTATGTTAATTTACAAATTATATGTATCTAAAACTTTTAATTTTTAACGAACCATACTGCCCCCGGGCATAAGCCTCCCAAACTTAAGCTGGCTCCGTATTACTTATTTTCAATAAAGTGATATCATAGCAAAGTCAACAAAACCTTGATTTGGTCTTGTAATCCGGCTGCTACAATGGCATTGTGGATGTTTTGCATTGCCGGGAGAACAAACTCAACAAACTGACCTGTACCAGCGTTGGGATCTACTTCATTTCCCACAGAAATGTATCGGAACTTGACATTCGGTGAGTAAGCTCTTACATTCCTCTGTACCCATTGAGTTGCAGCTGAAGCATCGAATGCAAGCACTTGAAGATCCGAGTTCGGAACGCCGAGGATGAGTTCTATATTGGATCCTCTGAGTGCCTGCAGAGTTGCTTGGTTTGGCTCATAGATTCGCATCCTCCCAATGCCATACGATTTGTACAAGTCTACAATTTCCCGCGCGGATAGAAAATTGTTGCCTCCATTGCACACACCTGTGAATTGTGCACCTGCATGTACGTGGAGTATGTTAATCCGAGATAACTAGACTAATATAACCAACATGGTATAAGATAAAAGGAAAAAATAAATAAAATTGTATTAAGCTAGAATGTTACAACAAACTAGACAAAAAAGTACGCGAACAACACATAGAAAACAAATATTTATATAATTAGACCTAAAGGCGAAAGTTGTCAGATTACAAGTCTAACACCCAAATCCTCTCTCTCACTCTCTAAATTGGCTTGTAAAATAATTTCAAAAAATTAAGTGTAGGCCAAGTGGTAAAAGGTTCGTACCTAAAGTGCCCTATTGATGTCCAATTCCTCTCCCTTTAACTAACTACTATCCATTGCCATACTAAAAAACAAAACAAAACAAAACGGAAAAAAAAATAAAAATAAAAATTATTTAAGTTATTTTTATTATATTATAATAAAATATTTGATTTGGTAAATATTTTACATAATTTTTTTATTAAAAATAATTTAAAAAAAAATAATTTACCTCCAAACAAAAACAAAAGAAATTAAGAATGATCAAAATTTAAAAGAGCCAAAATTGTGCTCAAGAAATTTAAGTTTCAAACTAGGTAATATAGCTTCTTAAAGTAGAGGATTAAAAAAGAGTATACATAAGAGTCTTAGAAGGAAAAAGATAAAAATTATGCCATCTGTAAGAAGGACCTTTACCTATCCAAAGCAGTGGAGAGATTTTAGTTCCTCCAAATATATAGGAATCAAAATCAGACCCGAATCATCTCAACTCTAAAATTTTCCGGCCATTTCCTGCGGCTTTATCAAATTTACTTCGAAATTTCACCACTTTCACTATTGAATTTCACCGCTATAAACTCTATCATTTTGAATTTCAACAATTTCAATGGATTCCGACACCATAAACTTCACAAATTTGAAATTTAAATGTTGAATTTTGTTATTTGTAAAAGCTGAGCAAAAATAGGTGAAATTTCACCAGTAGTTGAAAGTGATTAAATTCCACAGAGGAGGAAGTGTGCGCGTGTACGTGTAGAGAGAGAAAGAGAGAAAGATACCTGCTTTGTCTGTGGTAGGTAACAGTAGCACAAGTAGAAGCAGCATAGCAACCATATAAAATATATGCTACTCTCTAATTCGTAGAAATATCCAGAATGAATAACCAACCTATTCTTATTCTTTGTATAAGATCAGGAGATTGAGAAAGTAATAATGAAAAACCAACCCCATTGCCGGATCAAATACGTTAGTCGGTCCACTGCCATTGCCAGGTCAAGTGGATGGAAATCAATTTCAACCGGTCAAGTATGTACCCGGTCGAAATCAATCAAAACCGCCAATGTAGGAAGATATTTTACATGTAGGGGTAAATTGTACTAATACTCTTTGAGGTTTAGGTCATTGACACTATGATGCTGGTCATTATGGGTGATGACATTCCCATAGGTTTGAAAAGTTTACAGACACACTCCACCGGATTACTATAGTATGAAAAAATATCAGCTTACCCTTTGACTTGTCAACAATCACTTTTGAAATTACCCATGTACCTTTCCTATGCCATTTGACTTGAAAACCAGACCATTACCGCCACAACACCCGGACATCACCACCGCCATCCCCTAGACATACCCAAATTATATACGTATATATAATACAACATATATATATACACACACTATAATATGCGTACCCAATATTTTCACACTCTTTATATATATATTGAAAATATTGTTATGAAATGGTAAAATGAGGCTATATATTATTCATTTTCAGGGGTGCAATATATACTTGTAAATTATCTTGATTTAAGGAAATTACATAAATAAAAAAATAATCAAAGGGATATGCTAGCTGGGTGAAATGGAGCTGTTGGAGAGCTATTATGTGTGCCATTACATATGTTGCCATTGTGATCTTATTGGAATTCTGACTTTGGTCCTTGATAGCTACAATTAAAACTCCACGATCATAGGGATGATTATATCTCTTGTCATGCCCCCTCAAGCTGGAGTGGAAATAAAAATGAACACCCAGCTTGGTGTGGAATAGAATGAAAGCATCCTTAGGCAGAGGCTTAGTAAAGATATCAGCTGGTTGAGATGAGGAAGGAATATGTTGTGTAATGAGGTTTCCCATAGCCACCTTTCCACAAACAAAATGATAATCCAACTCGATGTGCTTTGACTGTACATGAAACATGGGATTGATAGACATGTAGAGAGCACTAATGTTGTCACAAAATAATTGAGGTGGCTGTGAAAGTGGGATGCCAATGTCACGTACATAATAAGAATGTTAACCAAATGATTTCTGCCGCTGTTGAAGCCATAGACCGGTACTCCACTTCAGAGCTTGAACGAGCTACAATTGGTTGTTTCTTGGAACACCAAGAGACACAATTTGCACCAAGGAACACACAAAAACCCGTCATGCTTCTTCTAGTAATCGGACATCCTGCCCAATCGGCATCACTAAAACCATAGAGAGTAGTTGGACTTTGGGAGAGATAGCGTAAGCCAAAGTGCTGTGTGCCCTTAAGGTGCCTGACGATTCCTCGCTTTACAGCCTTTAGGTGGACCAAAGTGGGGCTATTAAAGTGTTGACGTACTTTGTTGACAGCATGGATAATATTTAGCCGTGTAAAGGTCAAATATTGTAAGGCTCCAATTATGCTTCAATACGTGATGGAATTAACGAAATCTCCATCTGAGCTAGTAGACTTGTCCTTGATCACCATAGGAGTAGCAAAATGAGTACTTTCAAGCATCTGAGTTTGATGAAGGAGTTCCTGAGTGTACTTTTGTTAAGAAAGAAAAATAACCCCAGTAAAAGACTTAACCTCCATGCCTAGAAAATAGTGTAAGTTCCCAAGGTCTTTGATTGTAAATTCTTGGCTAAGTTGAGCAATTAAATTGCTGATGAAATTATCGTTGTTGCCTGAGACAACTATATCATCTACATATATGAAAATAATCACAGTAATCACTACAAGAAAAAAGGTCTTTTACGAGTATCTGGACTTCCTGTGAAAATTTTTTCACGGGACTTTTGAGCCCCTCGTCTATTATGGTCCTGTAAATACTCTTCACTTGTTACGGGAAATAATAACACTCGTAAAAGATTAAAGCATGACGATTCTAGCATCCCGTAAATAAAACTCTCACGAGATTTCTAGCCTCTCGTTAATAATTAATTTACGACACTACTAGCCACTTGTTAAAGGTCTTTTACAAGTGTCTGGACCTCCCGTGAAAACTTTTTCACGACTTCGGAGCACTGTCTATTATGGTCCTGTAAATACTCTTCACTTGTTACGGGAAATAATAACACTCGTAAAAGATTAAAGTACGACGATTCTAACGTCCCATAAATAAAACTCTCACGAGATTTCTAGCCCTTCGTTAATAATTAATTTACGAGATTATTGGCTTTTTGGTAATACTTAATTAACGAGTTGTTTATCCACTCGTTAATAATTAATGCACAACACATTTGGCCTCTCGTTAATACATCTATATATTTTATTTACTAGATCTAAAGCCTCCCGTAGATAGCTATATAATATATATATATATATATATTGATATAATAATTACGCCGTGCTATCCAATCATTCACATATATAACCTGGCCACAATTTCAACTAAACAATAATATAATGCCAATATCCAAAATAATTTATATTTAAATTCTCCATTAAACGTATATATCAAAAGAGTAAGGCATTAATTTACAATTCAGCATTGTTCAATGTACCAAAATTAAAAAGAAAATCCAATATTTCCCAAAAATAGATCAATATGTAAATCTTCACATTGTTCATTAATTCCTGGCACAAGCTGACTTCCAATTTTTCACACTTCCTTCACCTCATTGTCCATGGTACAAAATTCAAGCACGTACCTGCATCACACAAGTCTTAATTTTAGTATGATAATAATGTATATGAAGTTATGAACTGCTAATAGAGAATATATACGAAGGCTTATAGTAGAATTAGAGGCAGGGCAGAAGTGCAAAACAACTGTTGTTGTGTCCCCATTATATTATTAAGGAAAAACATTTTATAATAATTGCAAAATGATAACAAAATCCTCCACACTAGACAACATAATTAATTTTCCTCCACCCAACACATTCCCAACATTTTTATCTTATATTTACTAAATTTAATTAGTCTTGGAGAAAACTTCATGAATCACAAATTTGAAACCGTGTGCATGGAGTCACGATGCCATGCCTCAAATTTTCATTGACCCTCTTCTCAAGACAAGAAACCAGACGTAACTTCGCAATTTCCAATGCCTTTAAAAACACTGGCTCCAATTACAAAAACGATGCCATGCCTCAAATTTTCATTGACCCTTTTCTTAAGACAAGAAACCAGGCGTGACTTCACAATTTCCAATGCCTTTAAAAACACTGGCTCCAATTACAAAAAAACTTATAAAGTAATGACATCTGACACCAGTACCCATACATATGTAACGATGATATATATAACTAGCAGGGTATCATGGGACATTCAAAGAGAATAATTAAAGCATACCTTAACAGCAATGAAATAGTACATTGTATGATTAAGCTTCCAATGACCCAGTTCATGTGCAATAACAGTAACTACTTCCTCCTCATTTTTGCACTGCATTAAATCACTTTGTCAACTGAAAGAAGAATAATTGAGAAAACATAAAAGGAAAAAAGAAAAGAAAAGACATTTCAAGAAACGTGGCTGCAAGGCCTAAAAAATCTGTATCTACATGACTTCACATATGAATTCATTCTTTTTTTTTTTCTTTTTGCTTTTTTTCTTTCCCTTTTTGGGTGGGGATTTTGTTTAACATTAAAACTTGCACACACACTCCCATTGTGGTGGTGGTGGGGCTGTTGGGGGGAGTGGAGGAATTACCACTTAAGGCACCAATTTGTAATATCACATATGTAAGGATCCCAAACTATAGCATTGTGAAGTATAACACTATTTCAACCAATAAATGACAGCATCAGTGTATGCAATCTAATTTCCTATAAAAGAACATTCAACAACTCCTATGATGCCCAAAATTCATGCACTGCCCAAGAAATTTGACTGAAGATATAGATGCCTAACTTGCCGGGATCTTCAATATCAAATGATGAAGCTATTGCTACATAGCAAAGGAACATTACAAGAACTGTGCTCTCTAGTAAGAATACTTTAGTTTTTTGGGTTACCTCACACTAGCTTAAGACAAGTGCATGTTACCAAAAAACTCAAATTACTTCATCCCCTAAAACTGTTTACAATATAATAAATTAGAAAAGAGAAATCTTGTTGCAAAATTTAGCAAGCAAAGTTGAACAAAATTATTTGACTTAAATAATCATGTTGAGCACGTATTAGCATTAAAATATAATCATTTTAAGATTTATATGGCCATCAGAACTAAACCTCATTAAACAAAATATTCCCAACAAAATCAACTACATGGAAACCACATATCCAAGCCATTTTGTCATGTTTAATTATACATAGAAGTTATTTTCTTACTAGCGAACAAGGTATACCGTATATACGAGTTAAATTATGTTCAATAAGCACATGGCATTGCTAATGGAAGTAGAAAAATAGAAAAGAAGAAGAGGAACATATCTTTATAATACATTTAAAAAAAAAAAAAAAAAAAACTCAACTAGTCCTAATCCAAACAAAACAAAAATGGGGAATTAACCTAAAAATTTACAAGAAACTCTTGAACTCAAAGGATGTTACTCCATGTTTTAAGACGCCAAACTTGTCCCAGTCTTAAAAAGCTGTAGAATTTGTTTAGAAATGTGGCTCTTATATATTCCGGAAGCAAATCAAGAAGAAAAATCAGACATATATAATGGCCAAACAAGCGTTTCAATTTACATTTGTTTATGGAAAAACTAACAGGGGAAGAATTGTGCTTGTTCATTGCACTACAGGGCTGATACAAAAACTTAATACTGATGCTACAATAGGAGTGCCAGTTGAAGTAGTAGTTGTGTCATTTTAATATACAAATCAACCACTACATAAATTCAAGACAAGATGTAAAAAAATGGTTTTCTTTTTGTGTTTGTGTGTGCGTGCGCACGTGTGTAAGAGGGGGGGGGGGGGGAGATGATCCTTATAAATGGTTTTTCATTTTCCTTTTTTGGCTTAATGATAAGCGCCGAATATTGTATATTCAAGCGCCCTAAATTATATTAACA